ATCTTTAAAAAAAAAAAAAAGTAAGAAAAGATTAAAATATAAGAAATAAAAGAGAAGAGGCAGATCCTTAGTCTGGAGGGGTGGGGCCTGCCATACCCAGGTGGAGTCCTGGTGAGTGATCACTGCAGCATCTCAGGCGCCGCAGGGGGACGAGGGTCCCAAGGTTGTGCTGACCTGGCTGGAGGGTCAGCACCACACCCATCCCTTCTGGAAGCCTTTCCACTGTTTCTTGCCTTGCTCCCACCTCTGAGCGAATACCCGCCTGGCTCCGTTGTGCTATAGGAGGGAGGGATGAGGGAAGGATTGGGGCCCAGAAGCCGCTGCGGACCGAGGGTGAAGCAGAGCTCCCTGGGCCCGCCAGGAGATGGAAGTGCACTTCTAGCCACAGATCCCCCACCTGGGGGTAGTGGGGATCTGGGACAGGGGGGCCTGGTCGTTGGGCCCAGCCAGGATTGAAGAAGCAGGAGAGGGAAGCCCATCGGGCTCCACCACTCACAGACCACTCTGAACCTCTGTCTTCATCTGGGAGTGGGGTAACGCTGCCCCCCCCACCCCGCCTACAGAGTTGGGAGGTTTAGGATTCATGTCTTCAATATGCCCAGCACACAGTCCGTGTGGGAGTGGAGGGAGTTTTGATTGGCGAGCCGGTCCACGGGAGGCCTACAGAGGGGTGTTAGAGGAGGTAGCTTTGAGGTTCAGACAAAAGCCGTAGATCAACATGCACGTTTGCTTGTGCGTTTTCCTGAACCTGCCCTAGAACGGCAGGGAAGGGTTTTTTTTTTTTTTTTTAAAGCCTCAAGGACAAAGAGAACAAGAGAGGGGACAGCAACAATGACACCAGAGACCCAGGGTGGCCGAGTCCATGGTCAGTAGTCAGAAGAGCAGAGAAGCAATCGATGTCTCCCTCAGAAAGCCAAGGCTCAGGAGTCGGCCGCATGGTGGCCTCTGGAAATGGGGCTGATGTCAGGGCCAGAAACAGGAGAATTGGCTGAAAACTCTTCTGATGCCCCATCCCTGCCCCACTCTGCCTGGTGACCGTCCCTCCCTCAGATGGACACTTCATCTCCTGAGCGGGTCGGGCAGAGTCTTGGGATGGGGGGGGGGGTCCCAGGTAGGTTGGATTTAAAAAGGAGGATTCAGTGAACATTTGGATCCTGAAGGCTGAGCCCCTTTCCCAGCTGGCTGCTTCTAGAACTCTGGTCACTGAGCCCATGCCCTCCTCGGCGAACATAAGAAGCTTTGCTGTGGACAGTGGCCGGTCCTCTGGGAAATTAGAGAAGTCACACAGGCATTAAGTCTGAACAGAACACCACTGAATATAAGACAGTGCACAAAAAAGCTCTGGGAAATGAAAAAAATCTGATTATACATACAAGAAACCACACAGAAGTCTTAGAAGATGAATTTAAGGAAATTGCCCAGAAAGTAGAACCAAAAGACAGATGGAAACAGGAGAGAAAATAAGACTCAGAGGACCTGTCCAGCGGATCCAATTTCCAAATGCAGCAGTTCTAGAAAGAGAAAACAGGAAAAGGAGGATGGAAGTCAAGTAGGGAATGCGGGGAAATTCCCCAGGATGGACAAGGGTTTCTTGTTTGAAAGGGTCCATGGGAGCGCGGGAAAGGGGTTGGGAAGAGGCTCCCACCAACGCACCTCACTGTGTATCTGCACAACCCTGGGCCAGAGAGCAAGTCCTCCAGGTTTCTGGAGCGGGCAGATGGGCTCACCTGCAGGATCGGGACTCAGATGGGCTTGAAACGTCTCATCAACAGCCCTGGAAGACGGACACCTTCGAAATCCTGAAGGAAGGGACCCGGCCAAACTCACTCAAGAGTGAGGGATGTGGGGCGCCTGGGTGGCTCAGTCGTTAGGCGTCTGCATTCGGCTCAGGTCATGATCCCAGGGTCCTGGGATCGAGCCCCGCGTCGGGCTCCCTGCTCGGCAGGAAGCCTGCTTCTCCCTCTGCCACTCCCCCTGCTTGTGTTCCCTCTTTCGCTGTGACTCTCTCTGTCAAATAAATAAGTAAAATCTTTAAAAAAAAAAAAAAAAGAGTGAGGGATGCAAGTGTTCACACAATGACTTGTACAGGGATGTTATTCACACTGACCAAAAAAGTGGAAACCTCCCAAATGTCCGAGAGTGGATGAACCGGCAAACAAAATGTGATGTAATCCATATGGTGGAATTTTATTTAGCCATAAAAAGGAATGATGCTGATAAATGATACTGCTGCTGATAAGCATGGGGAACCTGGCAAACGCTATGCCTAATGAAAGAAGACTAGACACAAAGGGTCACATACTGGTGATTCCATTGATAGGAAATGCCCAGAATAAGGCAGTCCATGAAGACAGAAAGTACCTGAGTGGTTGCCAGGAGCTGGGGGTGGGGGTCCGCTCCTGGGCATGGGGTTTCCTTTTGGGGGTGATGAAAATGTTCTGGAATCAGATAGCAGTGATGGTTGCAAACTAAAAGCCACTGAATTGTACGCTTTATACTGGTTAAAATGGTGAATTTGATGTAACCTGAATTTTTACCTTGATTAAGCCAAAGGGAGGCTAGAGTAAAAAATAGTGTCCCAAATTGCAAAGGTTTGAAGAGTTTATTTCCTCATGCACCTTTTCTTAAAAAGCCCTGGGGGGATGTGTTTGACCAAAAATAAGGAAGTAAACCAAGAAAAATGGAAGACCTAGGATCCAGGAAATGGGGTCCAGCCCAGGAGAGGCGAAGGGACTCCTCAGGGCGATGGTGCAGGAAGAGGCGAGGCTGGTGGCCCCATGGTAGGTCACGTGGCTGCAGGAGGGTCTTCTTCAGAAAGAACTTGATGGAATTCCCCAGGCCTTTCCCAAATGAGAAAGTTTGGTGTGGAATTAGTCTTTTTTTTTAGATTTTAGTTATTTATTTATTTGACAGAGAGAGACACAGCGAGAGAGGGAACACAAGCAGGGGGAACGGGAGAGGGAGAAGCAGGCTTCCCGCGGAGCAGGGAGCCCGACGCAGGGCTCGATCCCGGACCCTGGGATCAGGACCTGAGCCGAAGGCAGGCGCCCAGTGACTGAGCCACCCAGGCGCCACTGGGGTGGAATTAGTGTTAAAGTCTGTAAAGGCTAGGCAAACAAATGATCATAAAAGACAATTATCTGGAGGGAAAAATTTGTGCTGGCAAGGAAAAAGCACCTGCAGCCTCCCATACTCATCCATGAGCAGCTTTTACTTAGTCTCTGGAACGGTAAACCTGGAATCCGATCAAAATCGAGACCTCGCTGCTTGGAAAGGGGGTAGAGTCAGGACGTGTGTGCGCAGACGCATATGAGGCAGTGATGAAGGGGAGCTGACGTCTCCCCTTCCTGGATGGGAAGTTGAGGGGGGTAACCCAAAATTGAGAAATCAAGAAATAACACTGTAAGTGTGTCATTTAGAAATCGGGAGGTACCAAAAAATTCAGCTTAGAGAGTTGAAATGTTTGCTTCTGGAGTGAGGTAGAGAAACTTCTAGGGCTTTTTATCTTTTTATTTTTAGAAGATTTTTTAATTTATTTTTGCGAGAGAGAGAGCACACAAGCCTGGGGGAGGGACAGAGGGAGAAGCAGACTCCCCACTGAGCAGGACCCTGGGATCATGACCTGGGCCAAAGGCAGATGCTTAACCAACTGAGCCACCCAGGTGCCCCTCAAATCAGCCTTCCTGACCATCCTTAAATGTACCATTCAATAGTGTTAAGTGCATTCACATTGCTGTGCACCCGATCTACAGGTCGTCTTCGTCTTGCAAAACCGAAACTCGATTCCCATTAAACAATTCCCCATTTCCCCCTCCCCCAGCCCCTGGTGACCACCATTTAACCATTTTTAAGGATAATGTTTATTGACACTCTAGTATGTGGCAGGCACTGCACCTAAGTATTTAATCCTCGGGGGGGGAAGATAAAACAAATGCTTTCTTTTTTTTTAAAGATTTTATTTATTTGTGAGAGAGACAGAATGAGAGAGAGCACATGAGAGGGGGGAGGGTCAGAGGGGGAAGCAGACTCCCTGCTGAGCAGGGAGCCCGATGCGGGACTCGATCCCGGGACTCCGGGATCATGACCCGAGCCGAAGGCAGTCGCCCAACCAACTGAGCCACGCAGGCGCCCAAAACAAATGCTTTTTATAGATGAAGACGCTGAAGCTCCAAGAGGTCAGGTAACTTGCCCACGCTCGCACAGCTTGTACGTGGCAGAGTTTCCATGCAGGTCTGTCTGTCTCCAAAGCTCTTGCATGGGACAGCCCCGGGAAGCCCTGGTGTTACCTGTATCCCTCCCCACTGCCCTTGGGCCTCTCTCCTCCTCACCCCCACCTTCCCTGTCCCCTGCACACTGGAAGCGAGAGATGGGATGAGCCTGGGCACCTGGGCCGTCTCTGCCTGGGCCCACTGCATCCTCCGGACCTGAGTCTGTCTGTGTGCCAACAGGTTGGCGGGACGAAGACTGGCGTGGTGCGGTACGTGGGGGAGACAGACTTTGCCAAGGGCGAGTGGTGCGGCGTGGAGCTGGACGAGCCCCTTGGGAAGAATGATGGGGCGGTGGCGGGCACCAGGTATGGTGGACTTCCCCCGGGGCGCCTGGGAGGGAGCTTCTCTTCACCTGGGGTGGGTGTGGAGGCTGAGGCTGGGGCATCTGAGGAAGCCCGTGTTGAGGCTCTGGGTGGCTGAGCCAGGCACCACGGTAGAGGTGCTGCCACCTTCCTTCTGTCTGAGGAATAGCATCCCCATTTTACAGACGAGCGAACAGAGGCCAGAGAGGTCATTGCTCAAGGTCAGGCAGAGTCACGGGCAAGTGCTAGGAGAGTCGTCGGTTCTGTGTTCCCTCTTGCATGCCACACGAGGCTATGTGGGGTGGGAGCTGTGGAAACGAGAGGGAGTGGTACCGGCCTCCCGGGAGACCCCCGGGTGACACAGGAAATAATCCAACACTGTCCAGTGCCCTACAGCCCCGGATAGGGTCACAGCTGGGCTCCAGGTCTCACGCCCTCTCTGATGAGAGAGAACTGGCTGCCGGGAAGGCTGGGTTGGGAGGGTGGCAGGCTGGGGCCGGGGGTGTGAGGTTCTGGGTGAGCAGCGTCTGCCAGGGTCATGGGGCCCCACTGCCCACGCTGGCTGTGCCTAGGCTGGGCTGTGACGGATCTGGAAAGGACTGGTGACTGTGGTTCAGGCCAAGCCACCAGGGGAGGAGCCATACTTCACCCAGCTCTTGCAGGAAAGTAGGCTTTTTGCTTCTGCAGTAGGCTTGAGGAAGGTCTGCTACGCAGGGGGGACGGTCCTGGCAAAGAGCTGCCTGCAGGAGGAGGCGGGATGGGGAGGCACTTTCAAGGCGAGGCAAGAACTGGACAGAACCAGCTCCCCGGTCCCGTGTGGAATCTGTGTCCCGAGAGGTTTGGAGAGAAGATAGTCCCGAGTTCCTGTGGCAACACTGTGCCTTCCTGTTCGCAAGATGGGTGTTTCTCTCAACTCACTCTTGCCTTCAGAATTTGGGGGCAGGTGGGGCAGCAGCCCCCACCTCCAAGGTGTCTCCTTCAGGCTTTGGTTGCTCCATGCTGGGAGCTCCATGGGCAGGGCTCAGTGGGGTTCCTTGGGTCTGGGGTGGCCCAGGGGCAGTCGTGAGAGTGGAGGCTGCAGATAGGGCTGGGGGGGGGGCTCTGAATGGTGTGTGGGAGCCAAGCCCAGAAGACTGGGGAGTCCAGTCCTGGCATTGCCATTTAGCCTCCTGTGTGACCTCAGGCAAGTTCCTTAACCTCTCTGAGCCTAAATCTCATCTGTGAAACATGGATAAGAGTAGAGTGGCTGGGGGATAGAAATGAGCACTCACATAAAGGGACCGGTGCAGAGTGGGTACTGGGTAATTGTTATAACTCCTGACTCCTCCTAAATATGCCCAATGGCTATTTATGGCTGCAGAGAATCTCGGGCCCTATTCCCCTCTGTTCTCTTTCTGGGAGTCCCATTTATTGGTCGTGGGGTGAGGTTGTTGGGACCCCAAGGACAAGCCTCTCTGCTGGGGGAGGCTAGGGGAGGCTAGAGGCAGCTCTGGGCCATGGGGCCGTGACGGCAGTGTGGGTCTCTCCTGCCTCCCCCAGGTACTTCCAGTGCCCACCCAAGTTTGGTCTCTTCGCGCCCATCCACAAGGTAATCCGCATCGGCTTCCCGTCCACCAGCCCAGCCAAGGCCAAGAAGACCAAGCGCATGGCCATGGGTGTCTCGGCACTGACCCACAGCCCCAGCAGTTCCTCTATCAGCTCCGTCAGCTCTGTGGCCTCCTCCGTGGGGGGCCGGCCCAGCCGCAGCGGACTGGTGAGGGTGGAGCCGGGGAGGGGTACCCTGGTGTGTGGGTGTGGGGGGGGTAGGGACAGAAGGATCCAGGTGTCCCAGTCTCCCCTGACTTACTCTGGTTCCAGGTCTCTCTCCATGGGGTTTTTGAACAAAAGTGAAAGCTTAGGGACCCCTAGCTGGCTCAGTCAGTGGAGTATGCGACTCTCGATCTCAGGGTCATGAGTTCAATCCCCACATTGGGCATAGAGTTTACTTAAAAAAGAAAAAAAAAAAAAAGATGAGAAAGTTGATATCTTTTAATAAGAAAGATTGATCCATTTACATTTATTGTTATTTTTATGTCACTGATTTGTCAGTAGCCTAACCCTAACCCCTTTCCTGGGAGTTAAGGAGGGTCATACAGATATAGGACAGGTATTATGGGAGGGGGCAGGTGCAGGGCAGGGGGTTCAAGGTTGCCAGAGGCACCCTGGGTGAGGGGAGAAGGCAAGGCTGCCCTGCTGGGCACAGGGCCTTCTGTGCAAGCTGAGGCTAGGTTGAGAATCTAGAATGTGTGCAGAGAAAGCGGCCCAGGTGAGGGAGTCCACCATGAGGCAGAGCCCAGGTGCTGTGACTGTTGGGGGCCATGACTCCCCCGAGAACCGGGAGTTCCATGGATCTCGAACATCCCCCTACGTAGAGCCTCTAGGGCACTGGCCGGGAGGAGCAGGGCCCTGGGAGGCGAGGCGCTCGAGCTGCTGTCTGGATGGTGCTCCAGATCCCTGAGTCCTGCCCGCACCCACGCCTTCCTGCAGCTCACGGAGACCTCCTCGCGCTATGCCCGCAAGATATCGGGCACGACTGCCTTGCAAGAGGCGTTAAAGGAAAAGCAGCAGCACATCGAGCAGCTACTGGCTGAGCGGGACCTGGAGCGGGCCGAGGTGGCCAAGGCCACGAGCCACATCTGTGAAGTGGAGAAGGAAATCGCCCTGCTTAAGGCGCAGCACGAGCAGGTGGCTGGGCCGGCAGGGCCGGCGGGTGGGGGGTGCCCAGAGGGTCAGCCTTGTGGGCCACCTTCATGCAGAGAATCCTAACCTCCCCCCTCAGCCCTCCTCCTGGTGGATCCGGAGCCTGGCTATCTCGTGCTTTTTCCTACTTAACTAGAGTGGGAGCATTTTCTAGGTCATGGAAAATTCTTCCCTGTTTCCGAGGCTGTGTGGCCATCTATCACGAGCTGTGTCTTTACCAACGTGGCCAGTGCCCTGTGGTGGTTCAAGTTATTTCCAATTACTCACATTGTCTAAATATACTCATGTACACGTTTTTTGGTCTACACCCGTCCACGTTTCAGATCGTGCTTTCAAGTAGATCCGTGGTGCAGGGCGCCCTCGCCCGTTGACTTGGGTCTGCTGCAATCACTTGCCTTCTCTTCCCTGCTGGAGATGTTTGTCTCCTACGTGACAGATCCTTCCTGGGTCTCCATCCCCACCGGGAGCCTGGCTCAGCCCGCCATCAAGTGCTGGGATGATTAAGGCCAGGCTCCCGTGTGTGCTGGGACAGAGGCCTTCCCAAGACAGCAGGTCTTAGGTTCTTAGGGGTTGAGGGACGTGGCAGGCACTGGGGTGCTGGGTACTGGGGACAGGTGGACCTGGGGTTCCCACTGGGTGAGGCTGGCCTCTGCCGTTCCTGGAGCTCGGCCGTGCCCTCCTCCCTCACAGCGAGGCCCACGGTCTGTGCCCCACCGGTGGGGGTGGCCCGAGGGGCAGGCCTGGCTCCTCGCGCCCCCACGCTTCTCTCGCAGCCCTCCCCCGCCTGGACCCCGGCCCGGGAGGAGACTGACGCTGCGCTGGCCCTTGCTCGGGGCCCAGTATGTTACAGAAGCTGAGGAGAAGCTGCAGCGGGCCCGGCTGCTGGTGGAGAGCGTGCGGAAGGAGAAGGTAGACCTGTCCAACCAGCTGGAGGAGGAGAGGAGGTATGGGCCACCACCCCTGCCCTGGGCCTGGGGGACATCTGAGCTCTGCGAGCCTGCCCCTCATCTGCAAAGTGGGGTGATGATCCCCATCTCTGCAGGCTTGATGCATCACCACATCCGTCCACCACATCCGTTCCTGAATGGTGGTGGCGGGGTGGGCTCGCTGCACCTGCCCTCCCGGCCCGTGCAGTGCATCCTGAGGGGAACACGCAGGGTGGGGACCCCCCTCATGCCGGCTGCATCCACAGAGCTCCCAGCTTGGCTGGGTCAGGACCCCGAGGCTCCGAGAAGCAGCTCCAAAGGGCCCCTCAAAACACCTTGCTTCTAGGAGTCAGCCCCAGGCTGAGGACTTCCCTGCGTAGTCTCTCTCAATCTTACCATGAGCCCGGGAGGCGGCTATTGCCCCCCCATGTCACAGATGAAGAAACTGAGGCTCAGAGCGGGCGGGGATTTGCCTGAGGCCACCAGGCTGTTGGTGATGACACGGGTTCTTTCTGTCCTGCCACAGCGGCCAGTGGGGACTGTGGTTCCCTCTGTGTGGGGCCTCTGGCCTGACTTGGTCCTGGGGTCACCTAGCGGGACAAGCCGACAGGGGACAGGGCTTCTCTTGCCCCAGGGCCTCTCCCTGTCCCCTGGCCGACACCCAGATTTCTGGGGCTCCCTCCCCTCCGCCATGCCTCAGGCAGCCCCCCATCCTCAGCCCCCACTTGGGGGCTGTTTTGGGGCTTTCAGCTGAGGCCTGTGAAGCACAGGCTGTTGTTACCGTCTGACTTGAGGAGAAAGGGCTTATTCTGCCTGAGACAGTTTTCGGGGCCCACACATCTGGTTCCCATGGTGACAAACAAAAAACTTGAACATGTCCTGGGGGTTGTGTTCATGAAGGGCCTGGGTGCGGGCCCCTGGGCTTGCTGGGTGGCCTTGGGCAGGTCTCTTGCCCTTCCCGGGGCCCCGTCTCCCCATCTGCAGGCCGGGAGCTGTCAGGAGGCCCCGGGAAGGGCAGCTCCGTGAGCGGTTATGTGCCCGCACCTCCCCTGTGCTGTCTTGGCACGTGGGTGGGTGACTGTGTCTCCCTGAGAGTGGCTCCTGACGCCTGCAGCAGGGCAGTGGGGACACTCATCGGGGAGCAGCCCCAGGACTCTGGCGCCCTGATTTTGCGGGGAGGGGACGAGAGTGAGGTCAGCAGGGGAAGAAGCCCACGCTCCCTCCCTCCCTGAGGACTGCTCATGCAGAAGCAGGACAGCCCCTCCTGCCACCCCATCCCACAGCCACCCTAGGGAGGAAGGATGTTGCCTGACACGCCTCCGTTTTAGAGAAGCCGGTGGTCTCAGAGTAGAGCACGGGGCCGGCAGTTGGGAGGGCTAGAGGTTTCCAGGAGGCTCTGCCCCCATCAGCCAGGACTCTGGGACGGTTGGTGCCTTCTGTGTGGTCTGAGCACGGGGTGAGGCCCACGGCTCTGAGCCCAGCCGGCTCAGCCCCCTCTCCCCCTGCAGGAAGGTGGAGGACTTGCAGTTCCGAGTGGAGGAGGAGTCCATCACCAAGGGAGACCTGGAGGTAATGGTCGGAGGACCGCCCCGCCCCCCCCCCCGCTTCTCCCCTGGCCCCTATCCCCGCACCCAGCCCTTGCAGGGCACATGGTCCTGAGGACCAGGCAGCAGCTCTGGCCTCCCTGGGAGGGGGCTGGGGACATTTCAAGGGAGAAATCCAGAAGGGGCCTCTGGGAGAATGGGGAGGGGCAGGTCATGAGAGACTCAGAGGGTGTCAAAGTGGGGGGGGGGAATGGCTCAGCTCCAAGAGCCCCAGGGGGGCCATGCTTCCTTTTGTTTGGCAGCCAGGTGGGGTGGACCAAGGTTAGCCATAGGACATAGTGGCTGGACTCCCCTGTCCCTTCTTTGTTGGACAATAGCACTGAAGGTGTCCCTTGGGTCCTTCATTTGTCTTGGATTCCAGGTGACATTTTGGCTGGAAGTAGCTTGCTATTGAGTCTCAGAGCTTGTAGGTGGCAAAACAGCCTCAGAAAGTCAAAGGGACTCACCCAATCACGGAGCGAGGCAGCAGCCCCTGGGACCAGGACCCAGGACTCCTGGCTCCTGAGCTCAGCCCATGAGGAGGACCACTTAGGGCACCTCCTGAGTTACAGCACCTGGACAGGTGGTCTGGGCAAAGGTGAACCTTTCACTCTCCGCTCCACCCCACCGTCTCTGAGCTGAGGGACAGGGGGTGCTCCCATCAGTTAGTGAAGGCCCCCAGCCACCCCCAGCCTTCCTCACCATATCATGCAGAGACCTCAGGGCTCACGAGGCCTCCGTTGGGTGGGCAGGAATGCCTCGCTGCTGTGGTCCTCCTAGCTCCCTGGGAGGTGACAAGGGATGAGGACTCCTGGAGCTATCAGATGGGGCAGGGGACAGTGAGTTCAGTCCTCCACACGCTGGCCTGGGCCTAACTGGCCCTGGGCAGTCCCTTCCCTCCCCAGGCCTCACTTTGCTCATCTGCAAAATCAGGAGGTTGAACTAGGTCGGTGATTCTCAGACTTGAGAATTCATCACCTAGAGGGTGTGTTCAGACACAGTGCTGGGCCCAGCCTCAGAGTGGCTGTTCGGTAGGTCTGGGTGGGACCTGAGAATTTGCATTTCTAGAAAGTTCCCAGGTGGATGCCCGTCTAGGGACGATACTTTGGGGATCATTGCACTAGATCTTTTTTTTTTTTTAAGATTTTATTTTTAAGGAATCCCTACACCCAACATGGAGCTCAAACTCACAAACCCGAGATCAAGAGTCTCATGCTCCACTGACTGAGCAAGACAGGCGCCCCTGCACTAGATCATTTCTTTTTTTTTTTTTTTTTTAAGATTTTTTTTTTATTTATTTATCTGAGAGAGAGAATGGGAGACAGAGCGCATGAGAGGGAGGAGGGTCAGAGGGAGAAGCAGACTCCCCGCCGAGCAGGGAGCCCGATGTGGGACTCGATCCCGGGACTCCAGGATCATGACCCGAGCCGAAGGCAGTTGCTTAACCAACTGAGCCACCCAGGCGCCCTGCACTAGATCATTTCTGAGCTCAAATTGGATATTATGGTTTCTGATTTTGTGAAGGAGCTGCCTTAAGAGCCCATGTCTTCGTTGCCCAGCAAAAGTGTGCCTGGGGTTGTCCTGTCCCTGGATGACCCCGGCTAGGGGAGGGACGTGTGCCATCTGGGAGATTTTTTCACCTGAGCTTTAAGGATGGATGTCGGGGTACAACCCCAGTGTAGGAGCCCCAGCCCAGCATTATTAGGATGTTCTCTTGTACGCTTCCCTCTTAGCCAAGGGGACAGGTCATGTGGTTGTCTGCGGCTGGCTTTCCTGCTGGGTGGCTGCCCTCTTGCAGGAGTTGGGGTGGGCTTCTGGAAAAAGCACCTGTGCTTGCAAGGGACAGAGACCCCTCCTGCGCACTTCACTCAGCGGGGTTTATTGAAAGTCTATAGGGAACTGTCACCGGGAGTTCAAGGACCCAAGGCAAGAAATAGCCTGAGAATCCACACCCATTCATTCTCTGCTCAGGGGCTTCCCTCTGCTCTTGACTCGTGGTCAGTCTGCACGTCTGTCTGACTCTTTTTCTCTCTCATTGTGTCTCCTGGGCTCTTGGCACATTTGCTCCCTTGTCCTGGCCCCCCAACCACCACTGCCCCCCCACCCCCTCTCCTGGCCCCGCCCACCCACTTCTGGCCCCACCCACTTCTGGCCCCGCCTACCCACTAGCCTCCTGGCCCCGGGGCCCAGGCTCCAGCACCCACCTCCCATCAGCCCAAGCCTCCGTCCTCTGGAGAGAATCTGATTGGTCCCAGGCTAGCCAATGAGCTGGCTGGCTTTGGATCAGGTGTCCATCCCCGCTCCTTCAGCTGGGAGAGGCTGGGAGAGACCGTGACAGACAGTGACAGTCAGTCAGGGGGCGCTGGGGTCCTCTTGCTGCTGTTTTTCCTGTGACCATATTCATGACGACCAGAACACAAATGGTCCCAAAGTTCCGCTCACACCCACCCGTCTCGAGTCAAAAATAAAACCCAGAGCATTCCTGTGAGCTCCTGGTCTCCCACCAGCTGTCACCCCATCTCTCTGCTTGTCCTCCTCCTGGCCTCACTCCCCGGTTCCAGCCTCGTAGCCTCCTTCCTGATCTCTAAACGTCGGCCTGTCTCAGGGCCCCTTTGCCCCTGGATCTACGCTGTTGAGAGCTTCCAGTCTGTGTCATTCGGTGTCCTCTGTGAGCTCACGATTCCCTCGGTTCCCCCCCCGCCCCCCGAGAGCCACACTGCGTGCCTACTGGACATCTCCCCCAGGGAGAGGGAGTGACGGGGGTCTGTAGCAGTTTCCAGGGGCTACTGTAACAAATCACCACGATTCGGTGGTTTAAAACAATGCAAACTTATTCTCTCGATGTTCTGGAAGCCAGACATCTGAAATCAAGGGATGGGCATGCGTGCTTCCTTTGGAGGCTTGAGGGAGAACCTGTTCCACGCCTCTCTCCCAGCTCCGGTAAGGCTCCTGGCAACCCTTGGCATCCCTCGGCTTGTAACTGAGTCACTGGCTTTGTCACCACATGGCCTTTGCCTCTGCATATTCCTGTGTCTCTGACTTGGCCTTCGAATAAGGACACCAGTCATTGGGGTTGGGGTCCACCTTAATCCAGTATGACTTCATCTTAACTAATCACATGTGCAGAGATTCCTCTTCCAAAACAAAGTCCCATTCGGAGGCTCCAGGTAAAGGTGAGGTTTTGGGGGACACCGTTCAACCCAGTACAGCATCCTAAATGGAACATGTGCAAGACAGATCTCTCTATTTATTTCCTGACCCCCCCCCATCTCAGCAGTTGGCCCCACAACCCCACAGATGGTTGCTTAGCTGACTTATCTTGAATCTTTCCTTCATCCCTCCCATCAGAAATCCTCCTGACCTTGACCTTGCCTCCAAACTTCTTTTCCTCCCCATAGCCACCTTCCTGGGCCAGGCCCCAGCACCTTGCCTCGGACAACTGCGCCCGCCCCTACTTGGCACCTCCCGTGTTCTTCCGCTACCCATTCTCCACACTGAAGCCAGATAACCCTTAAAAATACAGCTTTGGGGTTTTTAACACTGGGGAATTTTGAGCCTACACATAGGTAGGGAAGAAGGTACGATGAACCCTCATCACTGGCCCGTCAGCGGGCTTTAGTGATTATCAACTCATGGCCGATCTTGTTCCAGCTCTCCCCCCCACCCCCCACAGCCCCCTCTCCGTGTTACTGTAAAGCAGACCGCTGACCAAATGTCTTAAAGAGGCAAACCAGCCCCTGCTGCTTCCCTGCTCACACATCTGGCACCATGACCCCAGGTAAAGGTAGGCTCTTCCAGAGTGGCCCAGAGGAGCCCCTTGGGGACCCCGCCCTGTGCACCCATGTTCCTGGACGCCCCAAGCTCTGTCTGCCTCTGAACTTCTCCGTGTGCTGAGTCCTGCTTCTCCTTCGGGCCTCACCTTCCGCAGTAGTTTTCAGAGAGGCCACCTCTGCCTCTTCGATATTACGTCCATCCCCTGCGCCCCTCACCTGAGCCCTGTTCCCAGCTCCAACCACAACCTGAAATCCTCTATTGGTTGCGTCCCTCCCCGCAGTGTACACCCCTGGGGGGCGGGGACCCTGTCTGTCTCATCCACCTTTATGTCCCCACTGCCAGAAACAGGGCAGGATCACGGGGAAGGTGCTTCTCCCAGGGTGGGAATCCCAGGTCACAGGCTGGAGACAGGTTTTCTGATTTCTCGAACGGATGTTTGCCACGTTGCACCGTGAAAATGTGTGTGCCTCTCCCATCCGAGTGGGGGCTCGACCTTACTGGGATTTGGCCGTTGTTGATTAATCAATCATCCAGGGCTTACGTGTTACGATTTTGTTAATTAAATAGTACCCATTGGGTCACTTGATTACTTGCATGGGAGGACCCGTGGTAACAGGGAGCGCCAGGGTCGTGAACTCAGAAGCAGCTCTCTGTTGATCTGTGCGCTGTAAGGACTAAAGAGAGGTCAAGAGCAGTGACGCATGCCTCTGACCTCCAGGAGCCCCTAGTGCAGGTGGGGAATCTCCTCCCCCACATAACAATTCCAGCCATCAGTTACCCAAGGGGTATCCCAGGGCAGTGTCTCTGCTCTTCCCCGGCGTGTGGACACATTGTCTGCGAGGAGAGGCTGAGCGGCAGGTGCGGGGCGTAGGCAAGGCTTGGCTGAGCTCCCAGATTTGAGCTGCGGCAGGGAAGTGGGGGTCCCCCGCCTTGGGAGCCTCCTTCGATGATACATGTTGCTGCTGGAAGTCTGTGGCTGCCCCCCTCGGCCATGGAGATGGAGAGACTGCCGAGACACCCTCTGTGCGGGGGTTGGGTTGTAAAGTTAGCGCACGAGACAAAAGTTGCATCCACCCTTACACGGCCTCCAGCACCTTGACCGTGGGCATGGGTTGATGAACGTCAACTCCCGGGAGCTTGAGCGTGAGAAGCAGGAACGTGGTGGCCCCACTCCTCACATCCCCATCGGGCTGTTGCTCACTTCGGCACAGGATCCTGCACACTGCAGTGTCCCTGGAGCGGATGGAAGGCCCGATCATCCACCCCACCTAAAATGTAGCCTTCGAGGCTGTTTTCCATCCCCCCACGTTCCTGTGGTTGAATTTATCTAATTAAGCAAGCACTTGAAGCAAGTCCGCTGGATTCCCCCGTGTCCCCATGGAGACCCCAGCCTACAGACCAGGAGGCTAAAAGTTTGGAAAGGGGGTGATGCAGGGCGGTGGCGGGGGGAGTCCTTTTGGGAATACCAAGTGAAACTTGGAATTGTGAGGCTGGGGGCTTTTTCTTATCCGTGGAGCCACCAGTCATCATTTGTGATCATGCTCCACCTAGCGTGGGTCCTGGGCCGAGCTGCGGTACCCACCCTCTGGGAGAGGAGGGTGGGGACGAGCTTCCCGCCCGCCCCCCTGCCAGGGGCTGACTTCGAGACACCATTGTCAGCCTGTAATTTCCTGGAAGAGCCTGAGCCTGGTTGCTTGTTAGCACTGTGGCGTGCTGCCCTCTTGAGAGAGAGAGAGACAGAGAACCTTTTTAGTTGTTCCTTCAGGAACTCGCTTCTCCTGGAGGCTGAAGGCTGAGGAGGAACCCCTGGCTTCTCCCCACGATGAACTTGGTCTCCAGATTGCCCTTGTGTCCTGGAGTCAGCACCCTTGGCCCCTGCCACCCTTGCAGATCTGTTACGAGAAACCCAAATGCCAGGCTGGATGCCCCGAGAACGGCAGGCTTTGTTAGCGTGGGAAGCTAGAACAAAAGCGTTCTTGTGCTTTGGGGAGACCAGGCATCCTCCGCGGGGGCCCTGAGGGATGGGCACCGACACGCCGGGCTCGGGGCAGAGCAGTGGGAGTCAGAGCCTGGCCTCCACCAGGGAGGCCAGGCCGGCACAATCACGATGGGGTAGAGATATCTTTTAAAACCTTCCCATTCAATTGGTTCCTGCACCTGCAGCTCAGGCCTGGGGGGCCAGGAGTCCTGGGTTCCTTTACTGAGCCGTCCATCCCGGGGCCTGCAGTGTGCAGGATCCTGTGCCGAAAATGAGCAACAGCCCGATGGGGAGCAGGAATAGGCGGGGCCCCTCCCCAGAGCCGCAAGGGGTGACAGGAGGGAGCCCGCTGCCCTGTTACCACCCTCTTCAGGGTGGGGTGGCTTGGGGGGCGGGGTTGCTGCAGCCCCTCCTCTGCCTTTAAACAAACCCAGATGGGGACCCGGTGGGGGGGGGCCGCTGGAGGGCCCAGCCCGGCCCACCTCCCCAGACCTCCTCTGTCCCCGAGCCACCTCCTGTCCTTGACCTGCTCTCCTGTCTTGCTCACGGAAGTTGACGCCGCCTCTCTCTCTCTCTCTCTCTCTGTCTCTCTCTGTCTCTCTCTCTCTCCCTCCGGCTTCCTCTGCCCCGCACTCCTCTCCCCTGGCCCGCCTCCCCACCCGCCCCGGGTGGACCAGACCCAGACGCAGCTGGAGCACGCACGCATCGGGGAGCTGGAGCAGAGCCTGCTACTGGAGAAGGCGCAGGCCGAGCGGCTGCTCCGAGAATTAGCGGACAACAGGGTAACCCCGCCTCGGCCGCCGGCGCCTCCTCCGGCTTCTCTGTTTTATTATTTTCTCTGTCTTTGGCTGCTATCCTCGTTGTGTTTCGCCTTTTTTGCGCCCCTTCTAGGAGGGAAGTCGAGGTTTAGGGACGCTTCCACTCCACTGCCACGTGACGCTTGTTGGCGAGGAGGGGGTCTTCGGGACTGCACCCCACCTCATGGTCCCACTGGCTGGGAATGTCCTGCGAGGCCCTCCCCCGCCCTCCGTCCCCATGCACTGCCAACACAAGGCTTTGTCATGTTCAGAAATGGGGGGCCTCTTGGGAACGGTTTGCCCCTTATATATGGGCAGGCGCGGTGACAACCCATCCACAGCTCCCTTCTCCCCAGGCTGGGGAGGCTGAGGAAGGCGGGAGGTCGGCGGGGGACCACAGATCCAGGCTTCTCTAACTTAGGGGGGCTTCATTCTGGTGGCGGGAGGGGCTAGCCTGAAGGACCTGGGGCTTTGGGGGCCGTGGGGGTGTCCCTAGGGCATGAGACTCTGTGTCAACCCAGGGGTGGGGCTGTTGAGCTACAATAGATCAGAGAAAGCTCTGCTGGGGGTGAGGTCCCACCAAGTCCCAGGGCCAGGTTCTGGGCCGGGCTGGCCCTCCGCGCCCCCCACGCCTGCCCCGGGGCCGGCCCCCCGTGGAGGTGCACACATCCCCGCACCTGGCCCGCCCAGCCCAGCTGCAGTTCTGACCATGGAGCTCAACAGCGGGCTCGCGGTGATTGGTTCAGACCATCTGAGCAGGGTGGGGGCTGGGGCGAGCCACGGTCCGTTTCTGCAGGTCGGCCTCAGCACACGAGCGAACATGTGCATGTGTGTGCGTGTCTGGAGACCCACAGGGGTCCCTCTGCACACACTGGCCGTTGTGGGGTGACCGTGTGTGCTTGTGCGGGACGCACGCGTGTGCACGGACGCTGCTTGCAGAAACCGACCCGGTCAGGGGTGACAGGCGGGAGCCCTCCGCCGTGAGGCACCTTGATCTGGGGTTCAACCTGATTATAAAGACAAAAACAGACTTAAGGAACTAAGGTCACCTTCAGAAACAAATTTTTTTTTTTTTTTAAGTTAGGAAAAGATTTAAAATTTGTATTGTTTCCAAATACAGCCGTGATTGTCGTGATCCAGGTGGGTTTTCGGAGGATGGAGCCTCTGATCTCAGTTATCCATCAGGAGGCGGGTCTGGGAGCATTAATTTTGTTCTGCCTTCGGCATTAAACCAGGCCTTTCTCCGGCCATCCCCTCCAGACAGCCCTTCTAGTGAATCGACCCATTCCGGCTGGGGCCCCTCCCCGAGCCAGATAATGCAAAATTCCCCGCCTAAAGAAAGCCAGGCCCTCAAACAGGTGGTTTCTTTTAACCACCGATTTGTCCCAAGCCACACAGGGCCGCAGGGACCATCGAGTCCCTGCATCGCCAGGCTACAAGCCAGGGGAGTGTCTCGGGAGGCTGTGGCGGGCCGGGCGGCCAAGGACAGGCGGCACCTGGGTGGGGTGGGCACCCTTCCCTTCCGCGAACCGCCCCCACCACCCCCACCCCCGGCCGCGGCCCCCTGCCGGCCCGCCGGCCCGCTGACCCGCGTCGCCCTCTCTCCCCGGTAGCTGACCACGGTGGCCGAGAAGTCGCGTGTGCTGCAGCTGGAGGAGGAACTGCACCTTCGGCGTGGCGAGATCGAGGAGTTGCAGCAGTGCCTGCTGCACTCGGGCCCCCCGCCCGCCGAGCACCCCGAGGCCGCCGAGACCCTGCGGCTGCGGGAGCGGCTGCTGACGGCCAGCAAGGAGCGCCAGAGGGAGAGCGGCGCGCTGCGGGACAAGTACGAGAAGGCGCTGCGGGCCTACCAGGCGGAGGTGGAGAAGCTCCGGGCGGCCAACGAGAAGTACGCCCAGGAGGTGGTGGACCTCAAGGCCAAGGTCCAGCAGGCCACCAGCGAGAACATGGGGCTCATGGACAACTGGAAGTCCAAGCTGGACTCGCTGGCCTCGGACCACCAGAAGTCCCTGGAGGACCTCAAGGCCACCCTGAACTCGGGCCCGGGTGCCCAGCAGAAGGAGATCGGGGAGCTGAAGGCCGTGATGGAGGGCATCAAGATGGAGCACCAGCTGGAGCTGGGCAACCTGCGGGCCAAGCACGACATCGAGACCGCCATGCACGTCAAGGAGAAGGAGGGGCTGCGGCAGAAGCTGCAGGAGGCCCAGGAGGAGGTGGCCGGGCTGCAGAAGAACTGGCGGGCCCAGCTGGAGATGCAGGCCAGCCAGCACCGTCTGCAGCTGCAGGAGGCCCAGGACCAGCGCCGCGACGCCGAGCTGCGGGTGCACGAGCTGGAGAAGCTGGACGTGGAGTATCGGGGCCAAGCGCAGGCCATCGAGTTCCTCAAGGAGCAGATCTCCCTGGCTGAGAAGAAGATGCTGGACCACGAGCTGCTGCAGCGGTCGGAAGCCCAGAGCAAGCAGGAGGCCGAGAGGCTGCGGGAGAGGCTTCTGGTGGCCGAAAACAGACTGCAGGCCGTTGAGTCCCTGTGCTTGTCCCAGCACGGCAACGTAGGCGGCCACCTCTCCTGCGGGGAGGTGCGGGGACGGGCTCCCCAGTGTCGGCGGACCCCTTCGTCCCAGCCAGGCCCATGCGAGAACAGAGGGCCCCCCTCATTCCTCCATCGGTAGGGCAGGGTGGCCGTGGGACCCAAGGTGGTCAGAGCTGACCTAGTTGGGTCCCCACAGCCCGGGCCTGGAGAGATGCGTCCCTCAGCACAGGGCACAGGCTTCCTCCCAATCCCCAGGCCCCCGCTTCTCCCAGACGTGTCCCACTGGGCAGGCTCCTGGACCTCCCCAGGGCGCCAGCACCAGGAGCTCCATGGGGCTCGCGTGGCGTGGAGGGCAAGCCCTGCCTGTCCCCGGGGCGGGGGGGGTCCCACACCTCCAACACAAGCGCCAACCTAGGTGACCTGAGGGCAGCCCCCTTTTGCCAGTCCTGCTGAGACTGAGCAACAACCAACGGCCAGAGTCGGGGGGTCGCCCGAGTGGGCGCTGGGAGGCTGGAGGGGCATAGTTCTAGAGCGTCTGTTGCTACAGTATCAGTTCTGGTCCAAATCTAGAAGTCCTCCAAACATCCAGCTCGGCTTTCTTCAGCTCAGCACGCTGGGGAGGCCCAGGCCTCGGGTGGTGTGGGCTGTGTCCACACCAGCCAGGAAGGGCCTTTTGAGTAGCTCTGACCACCAAACCCTTGTGCACGGACCTACGTTGCCTTTTCTTACCTTAACCCTTGCAAGGTCGGTGTTGGCTCTGTCTCACAGATGAGCAAAGCAAGACTGAGGCAGAAACTCTCCCAGGGTTTCCTGCCCACCAGCGGGAGAGGTCAAGCCCAGCTCCACTCCTGGAGGGCCGAATGAGGGTGCCCAGGATGACATGAGTCAAATCCTAGATGAAGGACAGCGAGCAGCGTGATCATTGCCTGTATACAGGCCCTGGGCCTTCCTGGGCGTCCAATTCCCCTTGAGCATTTACACTAGAATAACTTCCAGGAGTTTCAAGGACAGGTGCCTTTTTTGTAGAAGGAGCTCTGCCGATGTCCCCCCTTGCGTCCCACTGTGGCAGCCTTTCTGCCCCCTTCTCCGAGGGAGGGACCTTTTTTTTTTTTTTTAAAGATTTTATTTATTTGACAGAGAGAGATGGCGAGAGAGGGAACACAAGCAGGGGGAGTGGGAGAGGGAGAAGCAGGCTCCCCGCTGAGCAGGGAGCCCGATGCGGGACTCGATCCCGGGACTCTGGGATCATGACCTGAGCCGAAGGCAGTCGCTTAACCAACTGAGCCACCCAGGCGCCCCGGGAGGGACCATTTTTAGCAAGGGCTTTCCCGGGATCCTGGGCAGAGGGGAGAGGTCGCTTGTGTGCATGCAACCCGCTTGGCTGCTCAGAGCATGGGGAGTCCCTTAGCAGAGGAGGCTTTGGACTGCTGTGGTTCTACAGGATGCCCCCCTTCCCCTCAATCACAGACCTTAGGCCAAGGAGAGGGCAGTGACCTCAGGAAGGCCCGTCTCTCAATTGCCACACACATGGAGCCTCGGTCTGGACCCACATGACTCCCGGATGCAGAGGTTTAGGTGCAGGGGCAACTGGCTGAGACTTAAAAAGGGGGCTTGGGATGTATGAACAGAAGTATGAGGGGCGGGTTGATGGAGGTGACTGCCTGCTCAGCTCTGTGCTGCCCCACAGTGTTAGACTGGCGAACTGCAGGCCCAGAGGACAGCCAGCTTGGGCAGGAGGCGGGACACTTTTTCCAAGGAGCCGTGGGGAGCCTACTGATGTTTGCCATCCAGATTTTTTTTTTTCTTAATTGATCTTTTCTTCTTTGGCTTCTGGGTTTATTATTAAAAAGAAGTCTTGGAGGGAGAGGAAGTAGCATTTCTTGAAGTCGCTCCGGGAACTGCCCTATGGCAGCCGATGCTTGTTTTGTGGATGAGAAACCAAGGCGGGGATTTTGCCTCTGGATGATGATGGAAACAGATTTTCAGGACTAATCTCTGTGGGCGTCCCAGGGAAAGAGACATCTGTTTAATATAATAGACGTTTTCAACAAAGAAAGGGGTGGGAGGCGTTCTCGGGGTAGCTGCCCAAACAGCCTTCGGAGACACTGGGAGCAGGAAGGGGGGGAGAGGGTCCTCTGTTGTCAGGGGGGCAGGATGGAGAGCATCTGTGCTCCTTGCCCCCGTATCGAGTCCTTGAGAGCCAGCCTGTATGGGGGTGAGGGCTGCTGGCTCGGCAGGCTGGGGCGGGGGGCAGGGGCAGGGGCAGGGGCCGAGCGTCCCCCTTACCAGGCTCTTCTTTCAGATGATTGAGTCCAACGACATTTCAGGGGAGAAGGTCAGGATGAAGGAGACTATAGAGGGTGAGTGGCCGCGGGGCTGGGCGGGACCCTGGGCTCTCGGGTTTATGAAGTGCCAGGCACTGGGCTAAGCCCCTTGTCACTTGCTTGGCTTTAACTTTATTTTTTAAATAGGTATAAACTTCCAGTGGGTGAAAGGGCAACGTCCGGCAAAAGGTGCCCTGTTGCCTGAGTTCCCTCCCTAAAGGCACGGTGTTGGCCGACTTAGGGTTCCTTTCCAGAGCTGTTTATGCACAAACACCTAGGTAGCACAGTCACGCCTCCCATGCTGTTCCGCCCCTTTCTCTTCTCCATTTCACAATGCCTCTTGGAGACTGTTCCAGTCTGTTCCTTATCAGTACATTCTCTTCCACGATGCAGAATAATCCTTTATGTGGAGCTCCTGTCGTGTGTTTAGCCAGTTTCCTACTGATGGATTGTGGGTTGTTTCCAGCCTTTGTCTATTACAAACACTGCCTCAGTAAATTACCTTCTCCTCTTTGGGGCTCAAACAACTTTAACTCCCACCAGCTGTGGTTGAAAGTGTATTTCCCCACAAGCCTCGCCAGCAAGATATTTCATCACACTTTGTGATCTTTGCCAGTCTCAGCGGTGAAAGATGTTATCTGGTGCAACTTCAACTTGCCTTTCTCTTTCTTCATGTCCAGTGTTCTACTTGCATCTTTTGCTCATTTTTTTCCTAGTAGGTTGTTTCCTTTTTGTTGGTTTTTAGAAACTCTTTATATATGACATTGCAGACATTTTCTTCCCCATTTGTGGTTTGTCTTTTGACTTTTCTTACGGTCGTGTGTGCCATGCAGATTTAAAGATTTTATTTATTTTAGAGAGAGAGAGAGAAAGAGAGCGAGTGGAGGGGCAGAGGGGGAGGGAAAGGGACAAGCAGACTCTGCGCTTAGCAGGGAGCCTGACGCAGGGCTCAATCTCACGACCCGGAGATCACGCCTGAGCCGAAAATCAAGAGTCAGACACTTAACCGACTGAGCCACCCAGGCACCCCTGCCATGTAGATTTTTATTTTTATTTTTTATTTTTTTTAAAGATTTTATTCGTTGAGGGGCGCCTGGGTGGCTCAGTCAGTTGAGCGTCTGCCTTCGGCTCAGGTCATGATCCCAGGGTCCTGGGATCGAGCCCCCCATCGGGCTCTCCCTGCTCGGTGGGAGGCCTGCTTCTCCCTCTGCCTCACTCCCCTTGCTTGTGCTCTCGCTTTCTCTCTGTCAAATAAATAAATAAAATCTAAAAAAAACATTTTTTATTCATTGAGAGAAAGAGAGCACAAGGAGCGGGAGGGGCAGAGGGGCTGAGCAGGGAGCCCGATGCAGGACTCAATCCCAGGACCCCAGGATCATGACCTGAGCCGAAGGCAGACGCTTAACTGACTGAGCCACCAGGTGCCCCTAAGCTTTATTTATATTTTAATCACTGCAGGACTAGTCCTTCCTGCTCTGCGTTTTCAAAATTCTTTTGACTCTTCTTTTTTTTTTTTAACTGATGCAACATTAACATAAAATTAACTGTTTTAAAGTGAATAATTCGGGGCGGGGGGCATTTAGTATGTTCACCGTGTTCTGCCACCATGACCTCTGTCTAGTTCCAGAACATGTTCATCTCCCCAGAAGGAAACCCCATGCCCATTGTCAGTCCCTCCCCCGGCCGGCTCCCCTCCCCCCAGCCGCTGACAAGCACTGGTCTGCTTTCTGTGTATGGATTTGCCCATTTTGGCCACTTAAATCAAATGGCATCATACCATAGGTGGCCTTTCACGTCTGACCTCTTTTACTTAGCATACTATACGCGAGGTTCGCTCACGTAGCGCGTATCGCTGCTCTGTTCCTGTCTATGGCCAAGTAATATTCCATCACGTGCCCACATTTTATTCTTCCTCCACCTGTTGATGGAAAACTGGTCTGTTTCCACCTTTCGGCTATTGTGAGTGGTGTTGCTATAAACATGCACGAGGAGGCACATCTCCAGTCCCTGTTGCAGTTCTCGGGGGTGTGCCCGTATGTTCTGTGTTTAACTCACTGAAGAAGCATTTGCCAGACTCTCTCGGCTAGTCTTGCTTATTTTCCAAGTGATTTTAGAATCAGCTAAGGTAGTTCCGTAAGAGCGAAAATCTTGTTGGTATTTTTATGGGTATCATGTGTACGTTTATGAAGTAACTTATGGAAACAATGTGTTTCTAGCACTTTCTGTAGATTATCCTTTTTAGGACTGTTCTGAGGCTCTTGAACACAAACACACACAGCTGTGTGACATGAGCACCATTATTATCCCCATTTTTCATGCAGGTAAACTGAGACTCCAAGAGTTAAATGGCCCAAGACCACGTGGTGTTGGGAGTCTCTTCTTCAGAGTGGGTCACCCAGTGGTGTGGGGAAGGATTTGGACCCTGGAGGCCAGTGTGGCCTCGTTTTGGGCTTCCTGTGGGAGGGCCACACCCTCACCCGCTGCTCCTGGAACATTATGGCCCCTTGTCTCTCCATTTTCCCTTAGGCCTGCAGGACAAGCTGAACAAGAGGGACAAAGAGGTGACAGCCTTGATGTCCCAGACCGAGATGCTCAGGGCCCAAGTAAGTGGTAAGTCTCCCGCCCGCAGGGCAGATGCGGGGGGCTTTCATGGGGGCCTTGAGCTAGCTAGGGGGGCATGGACTGGGTTGGCTCCTGGGTCCACATGCCCTCTCCCACTCTACCTTGAGAGGGTGACGTGGGCCAGTCCACCTGCATGGACTTCCACCTCAGCATCGGAGAGTGGGAGAGTGTGGCCCCCACATCTTCTGTAAGATGATCGAGGACCCCAGCTGCCTTCTTCCCCCAGAGCCAATTCTATGTTCTCTGTGTTCTGAAGTTCCATCAGCTTTCTCTCTCGTCTTGACTTCTTTTTAAACATTTTTATTTATTTATTTATTTGAGAGAGAGAGAGAGAGAGAGAGCACAAGCAGGGGGGAGCAGCAGAGGGAGAAGGAAAAGCAGGCTCCCCGCTGAACAGGGAACCCGACATGGGGCTCGATCCCAGGAGCCACCCAGGCGCCCCATCTCTCGCCTTGACTTTTTCATAGGTCACACAGATAGAGTGTATGTGCCCCCGGCTCCTTTCTAGATGAAATACCAAGCTTTCAGACTTGGGGGGGCGGGGAGGACGCTGGCCACAGCAGGGAGCAAGACACGGGGGACACAAGGACAGGAGGAGCCTGGGGAGAGGCACGGGTCTGGAATTTGTGATTCTGGGAACTGGTCCTGCTTCTTGTCTACCCCCACTTCTGTCTAGTTCCCATCATGTTCACGTGGCCTCATTGGTCCCCGCAAAGGGCAGTTGACCTCAGACCTCTCCAAAGCTAAGGTGAAGATTTAGCTTTCCCTTGCCCAGGACACTGTCAACGCCCGGGGCCTGTCTCGGGAAGGGTGGCCTGCTTCCCCCCCGACACCAAAGGGCCTGTGTTGATGTGCTTGGGGATGTGGCCTGCTCTGTGTAGCTGTTTTCTTGGCCCTTTGCTGCCTGGCTCTGCAGGACAAGAGAGACCCGGTCAGTGGGGTGTGTCACCATGGTCCCCTGAGAAAACCAGCTCCCTGCCCAGGCCTTGGCTCCCCCCTAGCGGGGACAGATTCCCATGGAGGGCCTGACCCTCTCTCTCTGCTTTCCCTGACGGCTGACCCTCAGCACTGGAGACAAAGTGCAAGACGGGAGAAAAGAAGGTGGATGCCCTCCAGAAGGAGAAGCGGCGCTTGGAGGCAGAGCTGGAAGCCATGTCCCGAAAGACCCACGACGCCTCAGGCCAGCTGGTCCTCATCAGCCAGGAGCTGCTCCGGAAGGAGCGGTGAGTCAGCCGCGGGCGGTGTGGCCGACCCGCCTGGCCCTGACCCTGACCCTGCTCATCTGACATTAGCCAGTCCGCTCCGGAGGCAGGGCAGGGGTGGGGCGGGCGAGACAAGTGCCTGGCATCGCCAAGATGGCCATACTCTGCTCAGATGAAGCCTCAGAATCCTTCTCAACACAGATCTCCAAGCAGAGCTTATAGGCAAGACTAGTGGTTCTCAAACTTCTTGGTCTCAGGGATCCCTTTAAACTCTCAACAGTAATGGAGGATTCCCAGAGAGCTTTTGTTTATTTATTCTATATTTACCGTATTAACAATTAAAACAGAAATGTAAAAGTCTTTCTTAATCCACTTAAAAATTATAACAAGCTAGTTGCATCTCACATAAATAACATGCTTTTGATAAAAAGTAACCGTTTTCCAAAACAAAAACTGTTTCATGAAAAGAGTGGCATTGTGTTACATTTTTGCAAAGTTCTTGAATCTCAGGCTTCATAGAAGACAGCAGGATGCTCCTATCTTCCTCTGCATTCAGTCTTCGCATTTGTTGTTTTGAAGTATATTACGAAAATCTGGCCTTACGTAGATACGTAGTTGGAAAAGAGAGGAGTATTTTTTTTTTTTTTAAAGATTTTATTTGACAGAGAGAGAGAGACAGCGAGAGAGGGAACACAAGCAGGGGGAGTGGGAGAG